TTTTCACCAAACACTCATGATGTAGTACGATCTGGTCACTCCCTACTAGAAGGCAGCTCGGATGTTGGACTGCTACATATCCGGGTCAAACTGCAAGAAAGAGAGATCAGAGATCCTTGGGTACTTTACCCGGTGTAGGCACTCTGATGCTTAAGTTAGCGTGGGAGATTTGTGAGAGAGTTGATAGCTTAGAATAGCAAATTGCGAGAGCTAAATCGCACGTACCTTATGAGGCTGAAGGTGACGTCTTTATATAGGTGATCTACTGTAGGCCTCACAAGACGTGCCTGAGATCACCAGCCCGTCTAATCTGGAGTCCATTCCACACCCGAAGATGGATCCACGTAAGCTGATAAGGCTTATCAAGGTCCATCTGATTTGGGCGAGATAGAGATAAGACTCGTTGATTTGCAACGTGATCTCGAAGAGATTGGAGACAACTGGCTCGCTTCTAGAAGGAGGCTATGTGGCACATCGACAGGTCGGTGAGTGTGGCGAGCTACTTGGACCACGGTGCTAGCTAAGTGACCCGAGGTGCCTGAGGTGACTTGGGCTGCTAAGGTGTCCAAGGGTGCTGAGATGTCACCAAGTCGATGGGTTGCTCCATGTGTCATCATGTCATTGGTCAGGCCAAATTATCCCTCATCAATTGCCCCCACTCCTGAGCCCAAGGTTATCGACTCGGGGTAGGAGTTTTCGACAAGGTGGATGGATTTAGCCTGGTCTCTAGTTCCTATTTGGCCCTGTCTCTGGTTTAGTCGAGGTCCAACCAATGGGTCATGGTGAGGGGCATTTTGGTCACCCCACACAATTATCGACATGTGGATGTTGTTGGCAACACATCGTCCAACACAGCAAGACAGCTTGACAAGGAGACACGTGGCAGTCAGCAGCAAGTATGCGGCTTAGCTAGGGGGAGCTCGGTCCGTTGACAACTCTAGCTTGCCCAAAACGGTCCCGCGGGCTGCACCCGCATAAGCACCATTATCGTAACTATGGGAACAGCTCGCCGAACCATACGCCACAAGACCCGCGGGCGACCTATAACCACCACACGAATCTACCAATTGATATTCCAACACGCCCCAAACTGTGGAAACAACTCCGCAGAAGACTCAGAGACTTTGCCTGATGGCAACTAAACCTCAAATAGCTATAAAAAACCCCAGGATCACTATGAAAGGTACGTGCATATAAGCTCTCACACTCTCTCACATATTCTCACTTAGACCTACTTAATGACTTAAGCATCGGAGTGTCTCCCTAGGTAAACCTACCCAGGCACTCTAACTTTTCTTTCCTTATAGCTACTCTTAGCTTGACAATACAGCTCGACATTGTTAGGTTGGAATCCAGTTCGAGCCATATCACTAGACACGAGGGAGCGAGTAGATTATGCATCATCAGGTCAGACTAAAACAAACCAATTGGCTTGACCTTATGGGGCAAGGTCACATTTTGGGTACACATGGACGTCAAATGATCTATAAATTCTGTGGACATAAAAAATGCACTCAACCAATTTCATCCTTGGAATACGAACAGTCGCACCCTTGGGAGTCGTCGGATCCATTTGATCTAGATTGCCAGTGGTTGGTTAAGGCGGCTATAAATAGGGCCCTTGGGAACCCATTTTTCTTCGTCCCATTTTGATCTCTCGTGCATTCAAAGGTCATGGAGCATGCTGTCATTGGTGTCTTCAGTGTCATCAGGTCGGTCTTTCTCTCTTCTTGGTAAGTCATCTTCCTTGCTCGTTTCATTTCTCTTTGCTTTTCTTTTCGGTATGTCGGGTAACGAGTCTAGTGGGGAGAGGGTTTAGTCCAGTCAGGCCGAGGAGGGCACCTCAGTCCAGGACCGACGTGGCTCCCATAAAAGGGCCTCGCCATTCCATCGGGCTTCTAAAACTAGATTGTCGGACAACTTCAGTCCCACCCAGCTAACTATCGACGACATCTACGGTTTGGCAACTTGATATAGAATTCCAGACCCCTTTGGTTATTCCCTTCCATTCATGTGGTTTCCTTGAGTGAATGAGGAGAATGAGGTATCAGTCTTTGAAGAGGCCCTGAAGGTTGGTCTCCGCTTCCCACTTCACCCCTTCATCCCTAACATCCTGAACTTTTATGATATCACCCTTAAGCAATTGCATCCAAACTCTATACGTAACCCTAATCGGTATGATTCCCCTTTTCTTCCACCTCGGCCTTTCTCTTGACATCACAACCTTCAATGGCCTCTGCCAAATCAAACAAAACCCTGCTAGCAGCTCGTGCAAGTTTAGCTACTACTTGTCTTATCGGCCTAGATACAAACTTCTTCATGGGTTTCCCTCTAAAGTCCCAGCCTGGAAAAGCAAATATTTCTTTGTCACCCTAGGTGGCCTTTCTTGACGCATTGGAGAAAGGGAATCAAAGACGTTTGGGGAGAGTTGAGTGAGCAAATTCAAGACAGGATGTGAGACCTGGTAGAGTGCGAGTTGAAGTTGGACAACTTTTTAGCCGAGGAGAAGCTAATTAGGTCGGGCTGAGTCCTCCTGATAGGTTGTCGTCTCGAGTTTGAGTACTCAATTTCTTTTCTTCATATTGATTTGACTAACTCTCGGTTTTCTTGTATAGGTGACATGTCGAGTGTCGTGACTTCAAGGTTCCTCACTGACATGAGGAAGAAAAAGAAGAGGAAGATGTCTCACAAGGACACACCTTGGGTATCCATTCTTGAGCCTATTGCACCAGCCGCAGTAGAGGAGGTCCCGGTGGTCGACCTTGTTGAGGAAGATCGGGTGGAAGGGCCTGCACAGGAGACCGAGGTGGCCCATTTGTCTGAAGCTTGCCCTCTGCAACTTAGGGCTCCAACTGTGAGGAGGCTCCCGAGGAGAGGCGGTCCATCATGGACTTCAGGACTGCCTTGATCAAAATCAAGGTGGCCATATTTCCCAAGGAGGTCTTTGATATGACCGAGATGCGGCCTGCCAAATTGGGCACCAAAGCAATGCGCTGCCTCATGGTGGTAAGCTTTTGAACTCTTCACTATGTTGTTCCCGAGTTGCTTCCTTGTACTTAGCCAATTTCTTCTTCTTTATAGATGAACCCCGTGGTCCATTCTCTTGTAAAGCAGTTTGAGCGTCATTTAGCAAGGGGCTAATAATGCCAAGGCGGCAGCAAATGAATATAAGTCCCGAGTGGAGCAGGCTGTTGACATCATCAGTGAGTTGAAAGATGAGCTCAAGGAACTTTGAACTCGACAATGCAAAGCTCAAGAAGGATCTTCAAGAGAAAGAAGCTTAGTTCGCTGAACGTGAGGTTCAATTTCTTGATGAGGTTGAGGCTTCTAAGGCTCATGCTGTCGAGGAGTTCAAGGTCTCGCCAGGCTGGTTGCAGGAGAAGCAGGAGTTCAACACCGGGGCCTTCTGTTAGGGCTTCAAACTCTCCAAATGCTAGTGAGGTCAGTGTACCTCGAGCTCGACCTCACGCTCATTAAGTCCTCGGCTTGCACCAATGAAATGTCCGATTAGGTTGATCTGGAGCCAAATTCTAAGGAGGAGGAGGAAGATGGGGTTCACAAGGGTGCGACAGAGGAAGAGGTCAACGTGGAGGCTACCGATGAGGTCACCATTGAGGAAGAAGCCGCCTAGGAGGACGCTGTTGTGTTTGCTGCATCATAATTGTAAATCTCTCCTCCCGCGTCTGCATCTACAAATTCATATTGCGGACGTACTGCACCAGCTTGTGAAACTGACACACATCAATCCCCACGAGAACCATAGAGGGATCTACGGGGGGAGAGATGCGTTCACTTGGGGCAATGGGAAGGCTGGGTTTGGTAGTGCCGAGACACCAAGCAGAGCTAGGGGCACTATGAACTACCCAATGGTCACTGAGGGTACTTCGGGATGGGCGGTGGGTTGTTCTTGCTCCCCAGCGACTTGCATGTTGTTGTTGGTGGTGGGATGACTGTTGCTTGATGAGGCCATTTGATCAGTGAGTAAGCAAGGAAATAGTGATATCATGACTTTTTGTTTCGTTTCCCACAGACAGCACCAACTGATGTTGCGTAATATGCTCGCTCCCTGCTAGAAGGCAGCTCAGATGTCGGACTGCTATGTGGCTAGGTCGAACTACAAGAAAGAGAGATCAGAGGTCCCTAGGTACTTTACCCGATGTGGGCACTCTGATGCTTAAGTTAACATGGGAGATTTGTGAGAGAGCTAATAGCTTAGAATAGCAAATTGCGAGAGCTAAATCGCACATACCTTGTGAGGCCGGAGGTGACGCCTTTATATAGGGAGTTGCCGTAGGCCTCAGGAGACGTGTCTGAAATCACCAGCCCATCTAATCTAGAGCCCGTTCCACACTCGAAGATGGACTCCACGTAAGATGATAAGGCTTATCTAGGTCCGTCTGATTCGGGGGGGGGGGGATAGAGATAAGACCCGTTGGCTCGCAACATGATCTCGAGGAGATCGGAGACAGTTGGCTTGCTTCTAAAAGGAGGCTATGTGGCACCTTGGCAAGTCAGTGAGTGTGGTGAGCTGCTCGGACCCCGATGCTAGCTAAGTGACTCGAGGTGACCTAGCCTGCAGATATGTTCGAGAGTGCTAAGATGTCACCAAGTCGATGGGTCACTCCATGTGCCATCATGTCATTAATTGGGCCAAATTATCCCTCATTGACTCATAAGCAACTCACAAGTTATTATTAGAATAAGCACTTATTTTTAAGCGCTTATTCAATAAACATTTATTTTTCAAATAAGCACTAAAAATGGAAAAAAATTGGCCTTAGACTTTGCTTAGTAAAAAAGGAAAACAAAGAGTAGCCCGGCTCGGCCCAGCCCACGGTCCGGCACAAATCTACTTGGGCTAGTGTCAGGGCCGTGCCGGGCCTGACCTTTTAGGGGTTCCGAGTCAGCCAGTGGCACGGGTGGTCCGCAAAATCGTGAACGGTACGGCCCACTTTACCAACTAGGCCTTATTGGTTTGATGACAGGAGTTACTGGCTTGACGCCGGTGAGTTCGCTCATTCGAGTCTTCTTCAACAAGGAGAGCTATAATACCTATTGCAGTTGCTCCGGGAGGCACATATTTTAATTCAACTTTGGTTCTGACATAATGAGAAAGTGAAGGTAGAGAGGCCTGCACCACGAGGAAGCCCAGATTCTTCTTCTTCGTTATGTACTCGATAACCGTATTAACCAACACCCAATTGTAGTCGTAGCTCCCCTGTCAAGGAGGAAGAGGGAAAACTGGGGAACGGAGAAAACAGGAGAGAACACGGCCAGAAAGCAGACCATACAAATGCTGGTCAATGCAGGTAAAGACACCAATAAGCCTCCAAAGGACTCTTCGTTCTCTCCTGCAACTGTCCTCTACTGTAAACCACTTGAAGCAAATCCACTGTCGCCTTCTCGTCCTCGACCTCCACCAAGACCAATTCCTCATAACCAATCTCATTACTGTCCTCTCCCAACGCTTTCGAGCTATCAATTATTCCTTCTCCATCTTCACCCACACCCACAATCCTAACACTTTCCTTTTCAACGCCATGATTCAAGCTTTATCTGAAACACCCGGGTTTCAAAGCAATGCCATTCAACTTTATATCCTCCAAATGCGCTACGGAACTGAACCCACGAGAAGACCCAACCGCTTCACATTCCCCCCATTACTTAAGGCTTGTGTTGCCACCTTCCGTTTGGTAAAACCCATACAGGAAATACATGCTCAAGTAACCAAGTTCGGAACTTACTCAGATGTCTATGTTGGAACCACTTTGCTGGATTCATATTCTAGATATAGTGAGGTTGAGTTCGCACGAAGGGTGTTTGATGAGATGCCGATTAGAAATGTAGTATCTTGGAATTCCATGGTTTCGGGGTTGGCAAGGTGTGGGGAAGTATGTACTGCGAAGGAACTATTTGAAAGGATGCCCGATAAGAATTTGGTTTCTTGGACAAGCATGATCTCAGGCTATGCACAAAATGGGTATTTCAATGAGACCTTGGCAATGTTCGATGACATGGTTGCTTCAGGCGTGAAGCCAAATGAGATTACTTTGGTAAGTGTCTTATCGGCTTGTGCAAATCTAGGTGCGCTTGGACTTGGGAAGAGGATACATTCATTCTTGGAGGATAATGGTTATGGGTTGGATTTGTTTCTGGGAAGTGCTCTAATAGACATGTATTCAAAGTGTGGTATGACAACTGAGGCTCTTCAAGTATTTGATAGGATGCTAGAGAGGAACGTGGTTGCTTTCAGTGCAGTGATTGTGGGCTTGGCAATGAATGGTAGGGGACTGGAGGCTATTAGGATCTTTGAGGATATGAGGTTCCAAGGAATGTTACCCAACGATATTACCTTCATTGGTGTGCTATGTGCTTGCTGTCATGTGGGTTTGGTGGATAAGGGGCAATATTATTTTCATAGCATGACAAGGGAGTATTCTATAGTTCCCAAGCTCCAACACTATGCATGTATGGTTGATCTCCTTGGCCGAGCTGGCCTTCTTGATCAAGCTTACCAATTCATCACAGAGATGCCTATCAAGCTAGATGTTGTGGTATGGGGAGCCTTGCTTGGTGCTTGTAGGATCCATTGTAACTTTGAACTGGGTGTACATGCTGCACACAAGATTTTAGAGCTAGATCCCCAACATTCTGGAGGTTTTGTTTTTTTGTCCAGTGCATATGCTAGGAGTGGAGATTGGGATGCTGTGAAAAAGGTGAGAATGATGATGGAAAAATCAGGGATGAAGAAAACACCTGGGAGAAGTTGGATTGAAATAAACAACATTGTCCATCAGTTCTTTGCAGGAGATAAGTCCCATCCCCTTAGTGACAAGATTTATATGAAGTTGGATGAGTTGGCCAGGCTGATGGAGTTTGAAGGTTATACACCTAATGTGGAGTCTGTATTTTATGACATAGAAGAGGAAGAGAAAGAACAATCATTAAATGTTCATAGTGAGAAACTAGCTATTGCCTTTGGGCTGCTCAATAGTCCTGAAGGAACCCTCATTAGAATTGTGAAAAATCTCCGGGTTTGTGATGATTGCCATTTTGCTATAAAACTGATCTCAAAGATTGTAAGGAGGGATATAATATTAAGAGATAGCAACCGTTTTCATCATTTCACTGGAGGGACATGTTCTTGCCAAGACTATTGGTGATAAAGGTCTAAGAACCAGTAAAATGAGTTACTTTTGGCTATGGCCAAATAGATTACTTCTTTCTGTGTCTTTTATGGTTCAATTATTGCTTTGCTGATTTGGATTTCACTCTTCTTTTCGTGTGTTGTTATAACACCTACTGATCATTGATTGAGGTTTTTATTCTAAATGAGAAATGATAGCCAATAGTCAGCAGCCGAAACTTTAACCTGTGATTGGTTGAATTATTAGTTTTATGATTTAAATTATTAGTTTATTTTTGCTTAACTAGTTATTTTGATGTTAGTAAATCTGCAATACAAATTTGATATTAAAGGAAAGAGAACAACTTTGGTTTTAGTTTCTTATATAAAGTAATGTCTATTGGTTAAGTCTGTTTTTGTTCTTCTTATTTTGTATTTTTATCAGGTGTTAAGCAAGGATGAATTAGAAATCTTTCTGGAATTTGAAAAGGGTTTTGCTTTTCCATTTTTTTATTTACCTTTCTTATACTTGGATATGCTGGTGTGAAAATTTTAATAAATTCTCATGCAACATAATTCACTTAATCAAGTGATTGAGCTTTTATTATTTTGGGTAAGGCCCATTCAGGGAATCATACGGATTGTTCCCCTTAATTACATCTCCACAAGAAAGTAAAGAACACCTTTTGATTCTGACTTGGAGAAATGAACGCATAGAACAAAAGAAAAGAACAATAGGGTACTTAAAAAGAACTTTTCATTTGCTTTTCTTTTACATCAAATGTACAAGAATGAGAAGAAAGAAGAAGAAAATACAATTGAGAAACTATACAGCAGCTATACATTTCTCTTTTCTTTTTAATACAAAGAAAATTTCCTTTTCACTCATTTCTTCACAATAAACTGTAGTCAATCAGATGAAATTCTGATTGTAGACAGCCTTAATCCTTGGAATTTTGCATACAAAAAAGGAACTGTAGTCAATCAAATTGAATATTTGATTGTAGATGATTTTCATCCCTCTGCTCTTCATTTTCATTTGAAGGGAACCATAATCAGCCTTCGAGAATTAGACTGTAGATGGTTTAATCCCTAACTTTGTCTTGAAAGAGGGACCATAATCAACCAAGTAGAGGCACCTGGTTGTAGATGGTTTATGACTTTATTCCCCTCTATTTCCTTTCTCAAAAGTAAAAACAAAAGAGAGAGAAAGAAGGATACATTGCAGAAGACATAAACAGGAAGTATTTACAGAGAGGACTTTCCTTTTACTACCTATATTAGTGAGACAGAGACTTTTCCTTCCTTGCCTTCCCTTGAGTACTTCTCTTTTCTTCTCTCCTTATCTTTGCTTTTCTTGAGAATCTCTTGTGAAATTTTTCTCGAAGAGTCTCTCCATGTGTTTCTAGCTTCCCCTTAAATAAGGAATGGGTTAGTTATGTAACTACATCCTCCTCTTAGGTGAAGGACACCTGTCCCTCCCACTTAAAGAGAGGGAACTCCCATACGGAATACTTTTTTATAGTTTTAATGATTTGGCTAGCAGACTAGCCAACCCACTTATTTGAGTTCTAGTCTATTTAAATATTATTTGGATTAAAAAAATTGCCTTCAACAGGATACTGTAACTGGAGTAACATGTTGGTGGGTCTAGGATTTGGGTTGAGATTGAGCTTGTAGGATTCTGGTCCATTCTTTCTTGGTTTTTTAATCTTGTTGTGGTAGGAGTGTGGTGTTTGGGGTGTGATGTGTGAAGTGGGATCTTCTTTGCTTTCATCTTTTTCGACTGCTTATTTATCATCTAAGAGTGTATTATTCTCTTTTTTAATAAATTTCTTGTTTACAATGGAGAAAGACTGTGAAATAAATTTAAAAATGACAAAGAATATATAATATAACAAAAATAAATCAACAAATTGCTTTACTTAATTGGAAGGCATGATACTGGATGCTTAAACATGCTTGGCTTATTGCCATGTTGAGACAACATAATGATATAGGTCGAGTAGGGGAAGCCCCTTTCTATCCAGCAATGGTGGACTGGAAGTATGGGTAAAGAAGATTTCAGATGTGAGAAAGGATTTTGACCTGGACTGGACACTGTAGATTTGAATCTGGATTTCATATATGATCTCTTGCAAGTAAAATTCAAGAAAAATTACAAGGCAGCAGCTAATAGGAAAGGACGAGGGTTTGTGGGTTAAAGAAGATTAGGGATCTGCACTCTGCAGTAGAGAAGAGTGCAGCAAGAGAAAAAATATGAAATAAAGGAAGAAAAGAAAGAGGGGAGAGAGAAGGCATACATGCCAAAGCAGTACTCATATAGACACTTTATTTCATGTTCAAATATGAAATCTTGATAACATAAAATGGTCCTACAGAAACATGCAGTCTCAGCCCGCTTTTGTTCTAGTCCAAACTCTAAACTCTAAACCTGATTACTGAATTTTATTAATTAATAAAACGTGAGTACAACAAAGTAGGGAACCCAAATAGGGAGGCTGGCCTTGGCTAACCTCCTTACATGAAGACAACAGCCCCTAGCCAACTTGGCCCCAATACAACTGATCCCTTGATATCCCTTGCTTTGCTAATTCATATACCAATACATTGGATGCCCTTGGAATCCAAAATCCAAATCGCTTTTGCTTGCCGCTCCTCTATAATTCTTTGTAGCTCCCTAAAGATAAATCTATAATTTCAAGCTAACTTCTGTTCATTCTTTAACCACCCAATGACTATTTTTGAATCCTTTTCAACATCAACTTCTTTTGTATTCCTTGCATTTTTTGAGGGAAATAACAAGGTGTTATATTAAGTATCAAAAACATGTACAAAATGAGCACCCAAAGAAAAATCAGGGTGCTGTGTTGCTGCTAGAGAAGTGTGCTCTATTTACACAAGATTTTTCCAACATATCTGCATAAGAATTGAATTCTTTGGGAATCCAAGTAATTGAGACTTGCAACTGGAGTGCAAGATCTCTTGCTTCAGCTTGGAAATGATCATATAAAGCCAAGGGCCTCCCTGTTCATTTTAATCCATCCAATGGTGTTGGCTGAGTCTTCGGCAACTGTTATTGGAGAAAGACCTAAGTGTTTAGCAATGTGGAGACCAGTGAGGACTGCTAAGATCTCTGCTTTCACAGAGTTACTATCTCCAATTGGACCGTTGTAAACCCAGATGATGTCACCTCCGTTTGTCAACAAAAGACCACCAATACCAGCAGGACCAGGATTTCCCATGCAGCAGCCATCAAATTTTAAAATAAAATCACTTGTAAAAAGGGGAGAAGCTCTGGGAGGGGTTTGAGCCTGAAGCTGTGTTGTTGGAGAGGAGTGAAGTATCTACAATAAATTCCTATGTAAGTTATCCAAAGAGGTGCCAGCAAATTCCTTGCTTTTGCTCTCCTTAATCCTGCAAGTGCGGCCCAAATCTCTGTCCCTATTGAGGTTCCTGTTCCTAGGGTCCAAAAAAGAACTCAAGGACGTTTCCATTTTCATCCCTGAAAATTCCACCTGTACTTGAAGGCCTAGGATTACCCAAGCTACAGGCCTACAACCATCAAAATTAACTGGCCCAAAGATGGTGGAACCCAACTGACCAAAGGCTTAATCTTCCAAGGACAAGAGCTTGCCATTTGCCTCCAATTTCCGAGAATGTCTACTATGAAATCAAAATATAAGTGTGCACCACTTTGATTGAGAGGTTGTCAATGATTTCTTCTATACCTCTTTCCTTGTCCTTGAAGAGACAGGCATTCCTTTCTTCCCACATGCACCAAAGTATAGCTGCCTTGGTACATCTCCAAAGCACCTTCCCTCTTCTCTTTAGATGTAAATCAGTCCTCTAAATCTGATGTGAACTTGGGAAAATTAGAGAGAAAAGAGGAAGAAAAGAAGAGAACAACAGTGCAAGAAAAGGAAGACGGAGAAAAGAGGAGGAGGAATAAGAAAAGTTCGAATATGTCTGCCCTCCCTTCTCTAATCCTTTTTACTAAACTTCAATTTGAACATAATTACAAGTATACCCTTAAGTGGGCAGCCAGCTAGGCAGTAACATAAAGAGAACTAGCAAAAGAAATAACAGGCCCATTAGCTAACAAATAAATAAAACATACTACAAGAAAAGATACTAGGGCCCATTCAGCCTAGTCTTTTTACACTCCCCCTCGAGCTGAGCATAGATGTTAATCATGCCCTGATTGCTTATATAGTGTGATAGCTTCCCTCTTGGAACTCCCTTGGTCAAAATATTAGCCAACTGCTCTTCTGAGGTGATGAATGGCAAACAAACTTCTCTTGAGGAAACTCTTTCTCATATAAAATGTCTATCAACCTCAATGTGCTTAGTTCTATCATGTTGAGCAGGATTATGTACAATATTGATAGCTGCTTGGTTGTCACAGTAGAGCATTATTGGCTTCTCATAGTCAACTCCCAATTCTTCTAAAAGGGATTGTAGCCATTTTGACACACCATGTGCCATAGCCCTATATTCGGCTTCAGTAGAGAATCTGACAACAACAGACTATTTCTTACTCCTCCATGAAACAATATTCCCTGCCACCAAAGCACAATAACCTGAGGTGGATCTCCTATCATCAATACATCCTGCCCAATCAGCATCAGTGTATGCTTCCAGCTTCATGTGTCATGTTTGACAAATAGAATACCTTTCCCTGGAGTACCTTTCAAGTAACACGGAACTCTTTCTGTAGCAGCTAAATGAGTATCTCCAGGAGAATGCATAAATTGACTAATAACACTCACTGCATAGGAAATGTCCAATCGAGTCATGCAAAGGTATAACAACTTCCCAAGCAGTCTCTGAAACACTCCCTTATCAGATAAAAGTTCACCATCTGTAGCAAAAAGCTTGTGATTGGGATCAATAGGAGTGGATGCTAGTTTAACACCAAGTTTGCTAGTCTCAGCAAGGAGGTCAAGGACATATTTGCGTTGAGAAATGAAGATACCATCTTTAGATCTAGCAACTTCAATGCCCMAAAAATATCGGAGATCTCCTAAATCCTTGATCTC